AAATTTCCTGAATTTCTGTATGAGTCATGCTGCCCAGTAGTAACATAAAAGAAAAAAAAAGCCAAAGCGGCTTTGCCACATTTGTGAAAATGGCAAACAAGCCAACAGTTTGATATATACACACATATATATATATACATATATGTGTATATATATACATATACATATATACACATATACACACACATATACACACATATATATACATATATGTGTGTATATGTGTGTGTATATTGTATATATGTATATATATATATATGTATATATAGTATATATATATATATATAACTATAATACAGTATATATATATATATATATACATACAGTGTATATATAATATATATACACATATATGTGTATATATACACGTATATATACACGTATATATGTATATATACACGTATATATACATATAGTGTATATATACACGTATATATACAATATAGTATATATACACGTATATACAAGTATATATACACGTATATATACATATATGTATATATATACACGTATATATACACATATACACGTATATATACATATATGTATATATATACACGTATATATAGTATATACTACGTATATACGTATATATACATATATACGTATATATTATACACGTATATGTTATATATATGTATATATATACATATAAATATATACGTGTATATATATGTATATATGTACATGTGTATATGTGTATATAGTGTATATATATATGTGTGTATATGTGTATATATGTATATGTGTGTATATGTGTATATATGTATATATACACATATATGTATATATACACATATATGTACACATATATGTATATATATACATATATATAATATATGTATATGTATATATGTATATATATGTATATATATACATATATGTATATATATACATATATGTATATATTGTATATATATAACATATATGTATATATATACGTATATATATACACATATATGTATATATATATATATATACATATATGTATATATATACAATATATACACATATAGTATATATATACAATATATACACATATAGTATATATACACATATATACTATATGTATATATATACACATATATACACATATATGTATATATATGTATATATACATATAGTATATATATCACCGAATGACAGCAATATCAGGAAGAAGGAACACGAGAAGCTGGAGAAATACCAAGGGCTCAGAGAAGAGCTCGAGAGGATGTGGAGGGTGAAGGTAACGGTGGTCCCCGTGGTAATCGGAGCACTAGGTGCGGTGACTCCCAAGCTAGGCGAGTGGCTCCAGCAGATCCCGGGAATAACATCGGAGATCTCTGTCCAGAAGAGCGCAGTCCTGGGAACAGCTAAGATACTGCGCAGGACCCTCAAGCTCCCAGGCCTCTGGTAGAGGACCCGAGCTTGAAGGATAAACCGCCCGCAGGGGCGTGCTGGGTGTTTATAAATGATATATATATATATATATACATATATGTATATATATACATATATGTATATATATCATATATGTATATATGTATATACAACATATATGTATATATATACATATATGTATATATATACAAGAGAGAGAGAGAGAGAGAGAGAGAGAGAGAGAAGAGAGAGAGAGAGAGATAGATAGATAGATAGATACTGGCTTTGATTAACTTGAGAGTTATTTTTGTTTACTCTTATTTTTTTTTAACTCTTCGATCATTTTTAAAGACATGTATTCTTATATCTATGAAATGACTTTGGGAATACAAATAATTTGCCAGTGTCACAAAGTACATAATTAATAAAGCATATCAGTAATTTTGAGTTCAATTTAGTGTTCGAACTGTCTGGAAATACCATCGTAAAAAAAATCACAACCCCAAATATAAGCAATGTGAATGAATTTCACAACAGTTTTCAGCATGGCGTGGGCGCCTTTTATATAAAACGGATTTCAAGCTCATGTTCAATCGATTTTATGGGAATGAGGCATGAGTCCCCGACTCCACTGCTTGACTTTAGAGGCTCATTGTTTGCTGGTTTTGCTCTAGGTGGCCACTCAATTGACTTGGTTTTTGAGAAAATGCAGTGTGACACACTGTTTTTCTGTCCATGCTTGACCCCCAACTGGACATTTCCCACATGGTGACAGGGTAGCAAAGACTACATGACACGGGTCACTAAATATAGCAAGGACGGCTGTCGCTAAGGAGGCGCTAAGAAATAAACAGGAGAGAAATGGTGGACCTCTTTCTCAGGTGAGGTTATTCTGTTTTCTTCCTTGCTGCTCTTTTCCTCCTCCCAACCATCAGGACTCCGCAGGGATGCCAATATATAGACCAGCAGTTGCTAACGTCTCTAGCCAAGCTCCCAGTCCTTCAGGTCTTAATAAATTGAACACATCACATAACGTGATTTATAGTTGCTAATTTTTAGTTGCTTTCCCTCAGTGGATCAAGCTTGCAGGCTGGGAGAACTGCACTCTTGTAAAGACCCATAATGGATGTTCACTGTGTTATTGTGGAAGCACCTGTTTACAGGGTGTGTGCACCCAACGTTAATAGCAATTAAACATATTTGTGCATTTGCTCAGATTTTTTGCTTTTATTTTTTACCAATAAAACAATAATGAGGCAAATAGATTTTTAGGTTTATTTTAAAGCATTTCTCCTGGACAGTTTTTAAAGATTACTCTGTAAAAACCCAGAATCTCTACTGCCAAATGCATTCCATTAGAACCATAACACCAAAGAAATGATGACCTTCCTTCCTTTCATTTTCCTTTCATCGGGCTAAGAAGGATATTCTAGATCTTCTCCTCAGCAACATTTTCCTAGAGCCTCTCCTGCGGAATCCTGAGACACTCCCAGGGAGGATGATATAATCCCTTCAGTGTATTCTGGGTCTACCCTGGAATCTCCTCCCAGCTCTGCTGGGCGTGCCCGAAACCTCCTGGAAAAGGCACCTATGCGGGATCCTAATCACATGTCCAAACCGCCTCAGCTAGTGCCTTTTGGTACACTGTCTTCACTGTGTATATCATCCACATCTTATTTCTAAGGCTGAGCCCGGCTATCCAACAGATACATTTCAATTACCACCCAGAGCTCATGATGACTCATGATGGGGGGATTTTCAGTCCATTTCAAAGGACTGAAAAATTCGCCAATGTAACTGCTTTTGATGTTGCTCTTCTAATTATCTGTTATTGCATATGATTCGGATCTTTGGTCACTTGCCTGTAACAAATTTCAGTTGTATTATTTTCCTCTTATTTTGTTATATATTTGGTCTGGATCAGAGTCAATGATGGATGCACGGAGAGCCGGGTGGGTTGCTGGGTTTGGAGAGAAGTGGGGGGGAGCTAATCTGAACGAGTAAAAGGTGAAATCTGGAGCAGGGCACCCAGGCCTGAGGAGCAGAGCTGATGAGGCAGAGAGCTGCAGATTGGGGAGGAACAGCATGGATGCTGAATGAGGTCTGGTGTTAGAGGAGGTGGATGACATCATAAACTCTCACTGTTCTACTTTCACAATGATAGATCTATTAAAACGTGCTTGTTATTTTGTTGTAGCCTCCTGTGGTTTAAAATGCAGCCACCGACTGGTTCAGTCTGGCTCACTGCAAGCTCTCCGTTTTTAATACTTCCTTTGTATTAGCGTAACTAATAGGCCTGCCACACCTTATGTAAAATTCATTTTTAGCTTTTTCATAATGTTCTTCATCTGCAATAATTGAATTATTCAGATGTGTTAGTTATTATATTGTTTGCTGTACCCGTTATTAGTGGATGCTAAAATAAGTTTTACCTTTCTGAACTGTAACGAAATCATTTGTAAAAATAATAAAAGCCCTAAAACTTAATCTTACATATTTCTAACAACTTAATTTCTTTAAGAAATGATTTCTTCTCTGGCTTTGCTTCTGTTCTTGCAGGGCGGGGTCAGAATGACCCCCCCCAGCAGTTTTGTAATGTTTGGGGCTCTGGTGTTAAAACATTAATCTAATTGAAACCTCTTAATTTCAGCTCAGTTCTCTTCTCCCTACCAGCCTGATCTAGTGCAATCCCTGCATTACTGCTGGCCTGTACGCACCAATCCACCTGACAACCTGACGTTCCATTTTATCATCGCTTATGAACAAAATCCTGTTGAGCTTTTTAATTATAGCATTTCATTGACTGGAGTATCAAATTTCAGCTTAATTACTTATTACCTCTGTTGTACTGAGACAGAGGAACACACCGCGCAGGCACTAAAACAAACCAGCAAACCCTCTTTGCAGGGCCTCATTTCATACTGTAGTTTGAATTGTTTTCGGTAAATCGGACCTTTAAGTGCGTGGAAGAAAAGTTATCGGAGCATCCCGTACACGGTTCACCTCCATTTACCGGTCAAATCAATTAGGCTGTTCCTAAACGCATGCTAACGAATGCATTAAGCTGTATGCAGTTTAGACTGCATTAAGCTTGCAAATCTCTTTGCAGCTCTACTTTATTTACCAAGTTGCATTTACCATAGAATCTGGCCACACAGAGTCCATTACTATCCCGTCAGACACCACAGGACCACGACTGGGTGGTGTTTTTACTCTTTTGAGAAGCCTGAGGTGTAATTACTGCTCTCAGACAAGATCTAATCTCAAAGGTATTTTAATGCCAGCAGTCACAATCATCTACCTCATCTCTCCACGTAAACTAAATTGACGGCAGATGTAGTGAGACTAAGCAGATAATATCTTCATTCATTTAACTTTGGCCTATAAGGCAGAGGGTGCTTTAGTCACTGGGACAATGGTGTGTTTTATCTTCTGTCTGAGCATATGCTTTTAGAAGCTGCCTTTCATCAGGTAACTATGACTGATTAGTCAAAGGAAAATAGATCTTTTGTCCATAGTTAAGGAAGACAAATACCACCGTCTCTGTGTAGCTGGAGCAGGAGCAGAAATCAACAGCTGCAGCGGCAGTAGTTGGTTAGACAGACCCAGTGTGTTTAGGCCCAGGGCTGTTGACTTACCCCTGCTTGACTGCTTTGTTCTTGTTCACATCGATGGTGGTGATGGAATGCTTGGCGCCAGACTGCACCTCCCATTCAACCTTCCACTGGGGGCTCTTCGAGTTGGTTTGGAGCAGGTTTACCCCCTTTTTAGCTTTGACCCTGCAGGAAATGGCGAGAGAGAAAAAATAATAGAGGTGGTCAATTTTATTAAGGGGGATGATTTATGTGCAAGGTCAGAGGTGGATACCCTCTCTGTGCTACAGGCCTCCTCCCTGGATTGCGTCATGGCAAAAGCAATTCCACAGATGAATCAATAACAAAGATGAATGAAGATGACAGTGCAGTGATACATGAGAGCAGAAAGGTAGGAGCACTTCAGGTCAGAGTGCTCACTTACACTCTCTGCAAAATCAGATCTATAAAGCTTTTTACTGAACCCACTGGATATTCATTTCGAATTAACACCTGAAAGCCACAAGCTTCGGTTCACCTGCTTTTTGAGAAAGTTCATACACACCATTGAGCTTTTACTGAACTGCATTTTACATTAAAACAAAATAAGCCACCTTTAAAATTCCTAAAAACTGTTGATTGAGTCTCATGTGCAATCTCCCTTCCTTAGCCCTTAGCTCTTCAGGGAGAACACACTTTATAGATAGGTCAAGGTTACCAGCACGAGTCCTTGAGATGATTATTTATTTATTTATTTTGGCTTGTTTGTTGCTCCAGGACACTGCAACAAGGAAGAATGTTTGAACCTGGAAACCAAACATACTCCCTGCTGCCTCTTAATATTTCAGGTATTCACATTAAAAAGGCCAGACCCTAAAGTGTACTGAGTGGAGTGTTGTGAACACTGCAGTGTTTTACCGCCCCCGTTAGGCTTTAAAATGAATTCAGATATTTTTTAAGACTATTTATAATATTTACACGTACATGCACAACAGTTCACTTGATAAATATTGTAGAACTTTACATAGTTCTGTAAATAAAACCATTCTCTCCCCCATCTCCAAAACTATTCTACATAATAACCCAAGGGCCAAAGAAGTAATAACAGTAAATGTAATGCACATACTGTATGTGTGCATCTTCCAAACATCTACATCCGCAATCCTACTCATCCACACATACAGTCATGTACGCATGGCTGCACCAACCAATCTGCACGTGCATGCACTTCTATATACCTTCATAACGCTGCATTATCTGCAGAGATTTTATACACAGTGAACCAGATGTGCAGAGGCTATAGATGCATACAAAATAAGACAATGCAAATGCATAAAGCTGTAGCACGCTGCAGCTATACAAAAACATGCCCCAACATCTGCTCAAGGATTGTGCGTGCTTGCCGGAGCAACAACTAATACCAAAAGAAGAAAATAAGGGATGAGAGACGAAATAGTTAACGCAGTAAACACATAAATATCTACATAAATGGGTAGAACTCTTGAATTTTATGGTATAGTAAAGCTACAATAACATGCGACACAGTTGTTTCCCTTTTCTCCAGTAAAATGTTGTGATTTGAAGTATACATAAGTCCTGCAGTATTTAAATTTAGTTCATAAATATTTGAAGTAATATGATTTCCAGTTGCAGCAGCAGATTTATGCTTTGTTTAATGCTGAAAGATGATCTGCGATAAAATAAAAGTGAGTGGGTCTGTGCAGTCAGGATTGCTTTTAAATGACAACATGCTCTTTCAGGATGGTCCGCGACCCAGGAGTTAGAGCAGACTGCACACTAATTGGAAGGTATTTTGATGGTTTAATCCACAGCTCCCCTGCTCTGCATGTCTTTGGGCAACAACGGAAACACAAAATTGCTCCTGATGCAGCCATTGGTGTGTTTTTTTCCCCAAGATTTGATCCTTGTTTTGGTTTAACAGACAGCCTTTCTTTTTTTTTTTGTTGTAATGTTTCCATTTTGCTTGTCTCATGTGTTTCCTTGTTTTTCTCTCCCTCTGTTTTGCATGCTGTCCTGATTTCCTGTTCTTACTTACTTAAGTGGGACTCCTGTGGTTTCACTTCCTTTTTCGTCTCACCAAACTAAACCTAAAATTGTATAGCCTGCCTTCAATAGTGTCACCAGTGTCAAATCAGGCCTGTATATAAGACAGGACAAAATGCAGCTGTACATCTGCACTTAAAGGTTAAAGGTCACTCTATTGAGGATGCCAGTGTTCACATTTTGGACAGATGGTTTAAAAGAGACGTGAAAGAGGCCGTCTATGTCCACTGTGAACATCTTTGAGCAAAGGGGACGGCTTACGATACTAACTGTCTGCACCTACAATCCACTTTTGAGATCCCTTCCCAGGCTCCTCAACTCCCACTCACATCTTGCATCAGGTAACCTCAATAAATCACATTGGGTGGAGCAAGGTCTCACAGTGGTTTCACTCAAAACCACTGGTGATAATGACCCACGCTTTTTTCACACCTTAGCTCATGTGATGAAGCACATGTTTAATAATAGAGGGTCAACGAGTCTCTTAAGGTACAGCCCCCACTAGGGTTTAAATACCTGGGACTCTCCACTATTTGGCTTTAGAACTGAAGAAGCCTCTTGGATGAGCGAAACATCTTTACGAAACTTAAAGAAGTCACTTTGTTTCTAAGCTCCTAAGACCTTTTTCTAGTCATAGTTTACCCATCAGTTGTTGAGATCACCTGGTTTCTCGTGCTATTGGTAACCTTTTTGGGCGACATTTTTACATTTTCTAGCGAGTTGTTACAAAATATCACTGTCTGATAGCAGACACCTTTGAATTTACCGATATATTTCATTAAAGTGTTTACAGAGAGAATTTTTTAGTTGTTATTTCTTTTTAAAGAAGCTTTTGTCTTCCCAGTTATTGTGATTTCTGGTTATTTGACCACAGAGCCATGCCCCAAATGATGTAACATGGAAAAAATCCAGAGCTCATTCTTAGACAAATGCAGCCACTACAGATTATTGATCTGATGGTTTCATTTTCATGAAACACAAGACAGAAGTGAATTATTAATGCTTTTGGCTTTTGCTTCTGTGCTTTATGTCTTCTAGACTATTCATTACTATGTTAGTCTACTTTGAAAATGTGCCTGCATATGCTCGGAAAATACTTTGTATTCTGTGAAAAAGAATAAATAACGATGTAATATTATTATGTAGTTTTAGGAGGTTGTCACCAAGGTTATTATCGTTAACGAAAACTAACGAAATAACGAAAACTAGAAGTGAAAAAACATTTTCGTTAACGGAAATAAAATAAAAAAACAAAAAAGGAAAACTAACTAAAACTGTAATGAGTGTTCACAAAACTAACTAAAATTAACTGAATTTATAGCAAAAATGTGTTTAGTTTTCATTGATGTGTGCGTGTCATACAATAGTCAAGGGTGAAAATGAAGTTTAGTTTCCAGATTTTTTTCTTGCTGTCTCATTATGCCAGCAGGTGGCAGTACGTTAGTCGAGTCGTCTGTGTTGCTGCTCCGTCCACGCGCAGAATCATGTCAGGAAAAGTCGACGCCAGAGTCCAATTTGGGATTACTTTGAATATGACTGTGTTTTGGATAAAGCAAGTGTCTTGTAGTGGAAAGAGACAAATTATGAGGGACATTTTAGGGAATCACACCTAAATGCCGAAAGTCACAAGAAGGCAAAGTACCTTATAGGGCACACCAACCCTCCCAAAGAGTACGGCAGCAGGATGATCGAGCACACGTACATACGGTACTTGCCTAAAAAGTTCTTCACGAACATACGAACACCCTGCGCAAATAGCTATTGGCAATACTTATATGCCTTACAGTTCTCTGTTATATTTAAAGAATAGGTGGATGTGATCCTCCAGCTGCGAGACACGACGTCCGGTCGTAGAGTGGAATAGCAACATACCCAAGGATAAGCAGAAGAGAATGACTGATATGATGAAACTGGGATTTTGTTACACTTAATTATTGCAAACACAACTAAAACTATAACTGAAACTAATCAAAACTAAACTGAAACTAAGGATTTTCAAAAAAATAAAAACTAAACTAAACTAGCAAACAATTGGTAAAAACTAATTAAAACTGATATAAAATTGAAAATCTGAAGTCAAAACTAAATAAAAATAAAAACTAATGAAAATTGCAAAACTATTAAAACCCTGGTTGTCACTCTGCTTAGGACTATGTTACTGCCACTTGCTGCTCTCCTGTTAAAGTAAAATTCTGGTGATCTTTATGATTGTTCCCGTGTTTACAGAAACATACTGTTGTTTTTCTCTTCTCATCATGACATCACTCTGACAAACATCTCTTTCCGGACAGACTCCATGAAAGCATTACCCAAATCATATTTTTCTCCCAAGTGTCTCATTTCCATTTGAAAGTTTGAGGCCCCTGCAACATCTATCAGATCATTGCATCTATTTCTCTGACAGATAAAAATTCTGAAGTCCCACTGAGGTATTTCCATTTGCTTCACCAACCTGCGCTCATTGCATCGACCACTCATCCATGATTTGTGAAAGCAACTGACTTCCAGCTGAAGTTCCTCCCTCTTTAACCAGATTAGGCACACAGCCCATGCAGAAAATGTCTTTCTTCTTATAGTATTAAACTAATTACAGTGATTATCTTTTATCTTTAATGGTTTTAAATACATAAAAGTTATTTAAATGTTTGAACTAATTTCATTCAATCCAACTGTGGCCCAATCTCAAAGCCCTTAGACTCCCATGTCAAAATCTCCAACTTCAGAGCACAAAGAAACATGTTTGCAGACTTGTACAAACAGTTCTGTTCACTATATCCAGTTTCCCGCTCATGATGACTGTTGTTTGTTTTTTTAAAACTGTTTAAACTATATTGATGCTTCAAGTTATGGATGATTACGGGTTTTGACTGCTTTGACTAACGTGTCGGCACAGGCAGCCTTTGTCAGGAGCTATCTGCTAGGCATTCACTAAGGCCTTATTCACACACTTCCGACCTGTCAATGACCATCTGGCAACCACCAGTCACAAGGGAAAATGTGTATTCCCAGCGACAGGCGGGTCACTGGGGAAAAATGGAGATTACTGACCAGTCTGTGTAACTGGGACTTTAGCAATTATTTTTCCAGTGGCTGCCGTTAACCTCCAGGAAGCACTCACAACCATATGGGGAATACTCCCTTTT